TGCTGGTTCTGTCTCAGCATCTCAAATGAGTTAAGGAACAACAGTAAAGGAAAGCAGAAATCTGCCTTTGAGCTGGTGCGCTAGACTTGCTGTTGTCAATACTTTGCTAGAACAATACATTTCTGTCCCTAGAAAGTGCATATGAGCTTTCATATTGCATGAAGGCATTTATTTAAAGGGCACTTTTTCAGGAAGTACTGCTTTTGGATAGATTTTAAATCTAAGAGGGCATGAGTCAAAAGCGGGTATTCCATAACTTCCTTCTCAGTAGCCAGTGCATTTAGACTCCATTTCTGCTGCTTGTGACTAAGAGCCTCAGACGCCCTGAGGAAAGAAGGTTCTCCTTGTTTAGCAAGAAAAAGCAGTCTGGAACAGGGTTTTCAGACTTTTATTACAGCTGCAGAATAAAGATGAGAAATCAGTGTTCCAAGTAAGTGGTTTTACAGTCACAGCACAGGAGACTCTAATGCATTATGTGCTAAAAGAGGAAGAAATGTCAGGAACAGCTAATAAGGTTAAACGTGCTTCTCTTTTGGCTTTTCAGCAGAGTCTTTACTTGCTGTGCTGCATCACCCCGATCAGCTCTGTGTGCACAGAACAATGCCCAACGTCAACATAGATTGCCCACCCCCGGTATTATTGTTTGTACAGCGGAATTTTTTTGTTCCAGTTTCGTACAGACCACTGTAGGCTGCGTGTCTGCCTCAGGGTTACGTGTGCTGCTGTGATCTGCGTGCATGAAGAAAATCCAAGTGAATTTTGCATTTTTATTGAAAAGATGAAAAAAAAATTAGTTATGTATAGTCCTCTGGGAAATAAGCTGCAGCATTTGAATAGTGCATAGAATTACATCCAAGACTGCAAGTGTGTGTGTGGGAGGATTGGCATAGCTATGCTTTAGAAAAATTACTTAACTTGAGAGTGTTTTATATTGCTTTTTTTAATATTTGAGCTACTGTGTTGCTATTTGCTTTTGATGGAGGATATTAGCTTTAGAAATGAAGATTTTACACGTTGAACATTATACGCATTAAACTATCTAGTTTCCCAGGTTTTGTACTATTTTAACCCCCTTCTGTATTTACACTGGCCAATGCATTTTTTTGTTTAAAAGACAAATTTATATGCTGATATTTTCTATGGCTTCATGCCAAAACAAGGGTATTTACTTCTTTTATTTAATGCACAAAGACAAGCAGTCCTTTGCTCATAGAAATTCTGAAGCTTCTTTACATAGTACCGGGAGAGCTCTTACTGATTTTGTGTCTACTTAAATAATCCATTAAATGCTGCCTCGGGTTTGGGAGCAAAAATATTTTGATGTTGAAAACTGTAGATTTACTAGAAGTAAAATGAGCAGGGATGTGAGAAGAAGGATTAAGCCCCCACACTTTTAAAACACTGAGAAATAATAATTTCAGAATATGTACGATTTTGTTACCATTGGTACCATTTGTGGCTGACTTAGAGTTTGAAATATCTTACGGAATAGCCAGTTTTAGGGAGATGTAAAAATTGGAACCCTTAAAGATGTCCCCTAAATGCTGGTGGTTTTTATTTTTTAATATTTCAGTGATTCCTGCCACCTTATTTTTTGTTAGATTTAAAATTTGAAGGATGGTAGCTTATATATGATATTTTTTTGGCTTGTGTGTGTGTGTCTTTTTTCTCTTTAATTAGAATTAGAAGGATGGTCACAAAATAAAGAAAACCAGTTTTCTCTGCAGTCTCTGTACAAAAGAAAATGGTCACCCGATCACAGAGTAGTTGAGGTTGTAAGTGACCTCTGGAGGCCATTGGTCCATCCACAGGGCCACCTGGAGCCAGGTGCCCAGGACACTATGCTGGTCTTTTGGGTGGTGTTTGTTTGGTTTTGTAGGTGTTTTTTGTTGTTTTTGTTTTGAGTATTGTTTGTTTTGATTCCTTAAAGGAACAGTGGAGTTGCTTCTCTGGATTTGGTGCATCTACCATCTGTCTGTGCTTAACTTCACTTCCCAACTTTTCCTTTTTGCTTCTTTGAGGGTGGTGAAAGAAGCCTTTTGTTCTAGGGCCATCCTATGTAAAAGTTAATTTCTCTCCTTTTATTTGTGGAGTACCTGTAATGTAATTATCTTTCTCAAGGTAAGGGCAAAGATCCCAGTGTGTGTTTGGAGGTTACTGGTTCTTCCATGTTGTTCAGGTACACAGTAATGCACGTACTGTTTTGCAGAAATCCCTTCCATGAGTTACTGTCTGCATAAGCCTGTGTGATGTTAGATCCCATTATTTTCAGATCAGTCTATGTTGCTTCAGTCACCTGAAAAATGTTGCCTCATTTCTGACTCTTTTTTCCCCCCAGTATATTGTTATTCTGTTCACATTCTCACATTTGCAAACTCTAACTGTCCCATCCCATTTTTAACACTGATCGTGGAACTGAAGCTGAGCCAAGCCTTGGTGGATCTCCTAAAGAAATGTAACTTACACAGTTGTACTGTCTGAGAATCCTGGTAACCTTTGAAACTCTTGGCTGATTTCAGACAGAATGGAGAGTTGTTTTAAGTTGCTGTTATGTTTTAATGAAAATGAATGGCCCATTTAAAGGCAAGTGATCATTAAATCTCTTAAACAGGAAGGTATGAGGTCAGCTTTTATTAATCATCAGAGAACTGGGGATGGGAGGGGAGGAGTTACAAGTGCTCCAGTGAAAGAAGAGGAAAAAATCTAATATTAATGTTAACTTCTTTATTTGATATCAGAAATTCAATTAGAAAGCAAAATCTTGTAAAGTCAGGCTTTATGCTTCCTATTCAGTTGGTTGCTTCTTTTTGAGGTGGTAAGAGTTAGTAAAGTAGTTCCTTCCTCATCTACTTTTGTGTAAGAATTGGCAACAACTAAGAAGAATATTTGATGGTAATTTTTCTTTCTGGGAGGCATTTGCTGTTGAGGAATAAGAGACTCACAATATGTAGCTCCAGAGCAGTTTGCATGTTCTCTCTGTCTTCAGTGACGTTGAGGGGAATGTGCTGTCATGGATACTGGTGAGAAAGCAATTGGATTGTCATCTTTGTTCTTTTGCTCCTGCTCTTACTTTCAGGAATTTGAATTTTGTCATAAGGCCATAATTGTAATGAACACTCCCAGCATTGACTTCATTGTGCACAGAACCCATCATCGGGCTTCAACAGTGTGGGAGCGGTGCTAATTCCATGAGGTGTGGCTACAAACACCCACTCACCATTTGAGTTTTGCATAGACAAAGAGTATCTCCAGTTCTGTTTTCCAGGATGTGTGCTGATGAATGAAGGAGAGGAGATGATTATCCATTGATGGAGTCTAATAAAATGCATTCCAGTTAAATGGCAGCAATCAGAATGTGGTGCTTGAGGAAGTGGGAGTAACTGAAGTTGTGAAACGGGGGCCACCCTAGAGTTACTTCTGGGTCCACATACTTGTGTAAAGTTTTATGACCTTGAAAATCTGCAGGTTTTTTAACGAGTTGATATTATTCAGCCTTTCCTGTGGGTTGCCAGTAGCAAAACACGATTAGCTTTAATGGCAATAGAAAATTCAGAGTTAAATGCACAAATATCTGAGAGAATGTTGCAGTGTAATTTAAGGTGGGATAAGTGGAACAAAAATAGTTGAACCAATTCTAATAGCAAATTAGTGCCAAACAGGGAAGATGTTGCTCTTTTTCTCTCTTCCTACCCAAGTATGTGTCCTGCTCTCTGAATCAGGTTGATTCTTGTGTCAAACCCCCACAGTGTCAGAAATCAGATCACCAGGAAGCAGAAGGGTCTCTGGTCTTGAGGTTCTGTGTGTGCTGCGGGGAACGGGAAGGGGTGGTTGTGTTTGTGTCATGTGTCTTTTTCAGGTCCCTCCCTCTCTGCTTGTGGTTTATTTTCTGTTTGGTTTGAGTTGAATTGGCTTTCTGGAGAAGTCCAGTGAACCCAGAAATGGCTCAAAGTAGGCAGCAGGAGCTCAGACCCCAGAATGAGGACAGAGAAGGGCAATGGAGTGTGCTGTTGTCCTTTAATAAATCATTAGATTGGTTCAAGCTGCCTTGTGCAACTTCACTCTACCTAAATCCAAGGAAGTTGAGCAAGATTTTGAGAAATTTGTGGATTTTGAATAGATTCTTTTTAAATTGTTATTGAATATTTATCTTCATTAACTTTAACAGGGTAGGATCCTGCTACTCTTTGATTTTTTTTTGGTTTATTTACAGTTTGATTATAGCTTGCACATAAGTAACTGTATCTGCACATGTTCAAATACTTAATGAGCAATTCAGCTTTACTAAACCCAGTATATACAGAATATTTATTGTGATCTATTCTTGCCAGTGATTCTTATTGTGTTAGTATTTTGCACTTCATAAATCTCATGACCTAATATTAATCACTGTAGTAAGAAATGGGGGAAATGTGATGGGACTTTGTTGTTACAGGAGAAGTGAAATACACAATCTTAAATGGTATCTCTGAAAACGTTCATTTACTTTTAAGTAAATTGATATAGATTTTTAAACCTAATTTTTATTTTTTAATTATACCATGTACAGACCTACTGGAGCTTGTTAAGGAAGTTTGGCTTCCTTTTTGAAACATTTTGATATTCAAGAGTGGGTGTTTTATTACTCCCCTGAGATAAATTCTTTAGAAAGATTGAAGAGGGGAGAGGAAAAAAAACATGACAAACTTTTCAGTTCATTATCTGACCATGAATTAACTCTGAGTGAGAAATTGTTTTGGCAGTATTGCATAGCTATTTTTGTTGATTACCCTGTCTGTAAAATGAGAATATTTTTATGGGGGAGAAATATTTAAAGTTGGTGTTTTAAGTTGTTTCCTAAGTTGATTTTTGAGCTGGAGAGAGAACAAAAAAGATGGTGAAGACTTTTAAGTCTTAATAAAAGCAATCTCAGGATTTATCTGATCAGGAAGGGTTTGTAATATGTTATTAGAAATTACAATTTATTTTCATTTTTATTTATTTTTTTTTTCTTCCCCCCCCAGGTGATTCATGGCAGGGGACGTGGAAGGGTTTAGCTCCTCCATCCATGACACCAGTGTCTCTGCAGGATTCAGAGCACTGTATGAGGAGGGATTGCTTCTTGATGTCACACTTGTCATTGAAGACCACCAATTTCAGGCCCATAAAGCTCTGCTTGCCACCCAGAGTGATTACTTCAGGATTATGTTCACAGCTGACATGCGAGAACGAGATCAGGACAAAATCCATTTGAAAGGTCTGACAGCTACAGGCTTCAGTCATGTTCTCCAATTCATGTACTATGGAACTATTGAACTGAGTATGAACACTGTTCATGAAATCCTTCAGGCTGCCATGTATGTCCAGCTTATAGAGGTGGTAAAATTTTGCTGCTCTTTTCTCTTAGCTAAAATCTGCTTAGAAAACTGTGCAGAAATTATGAGACTTCTGGATGATTTTGGTGTAAACATCGAAGGAGTCAGGGAAAAACTGGATTCCTTTCTGCTAGAGAATTTTGTGCCGCTCATGTCCAGACCTGACTTCCTTTCATATCTGAGCTTTGAGAAGCTCATGTCTTACTTGGATAATGATCATCTGAGCAGGTTTCCAGAGATAGAGCTGTATGAAGCTGTTCAGGCCTGGCTGCGCCATGATAGAAGACGCTGGAGGCATACGGACACCATCATTCAGAACATCAGGTTTTGTTTGATGACACCATCCAGTGTTTTTGAGAAGGTTGGTGCATTTGAAAAGCAATAGGCAGGATTCATCATTTAGCTAGGGCAGCATGCCATTAAATAGGTAAGATTCCCCAACCTATTAGGAGGAACAAAATTATAGCATTTGTTTTCTAATAAACCCATAGAAGGCAAACAACTAAAAGTATTGTCTTTTGGTTATTAGACGATAGTATGTACAGTGGCTGGAGGACAGGTGGGTTTGCAATACATGTCTGTAAGGGGCTTTATATGGAAAAGACATTTTAAAATAAGGTCACTTGTATGTAGTTTGTTTTCAAATGTTCTTACTGTTATCCACAAGTTACTTCTTGCTTTAGAGCTGCACACAGTACGTAGGGTGTATGTCATGATAATTGTTATCAATTTCATCAAAAAGTAGTGGCAGTAGATCTTATGTGGGTTTAAAGTTTTAAGTTTTTAAGTTCAAGGGTTTTTTTTAAGTACAGGATTTTTTTTTTATTTACAAATGACAACAAGCATCTGCTCTTAAATCTGCACCGTTTTTGGTGTTGTATCTTTGGTGGTTGTGCTGTTACACAGCAGTTGGAAGTAGGCCCTGATCCTGCAAAGTTACACATGCACTTGGTTCTACACAAGGCACGTAATCAATCAAAAATATTTACAGTATGAAATTTTAATTATTTGCTTTAAATATTGGAGGAATCTTTGTAATAGTTGATCTGAAGTTCAACTGATCATTGTGTGTAGTAAGAGGTTAAAACCAAAGTTCTTTTTCTACTCCTCTGTTGACGAATAGACAGAAAAGTTGTATCCTAGTTCTTGAGACTGTCTGAATATTTGCCAACAGTAGAGGATTACTTTGTAAGCAACTCTTTCACAGACCAGTAACAGTGTTCAGGGCAGCAATTACTTAAACCTTGCTGTTTTAACACTGCTAATTTTCTGTGATGAGATACTACGTTAACTTTTGTATCTTTCACCTCAGTGAATAACTAGGAGGTAAGACCCCGTGTTTTTGTTGTGCTTCTTTCAAATTAATTTTCCGTATATTTTTACTTTGGTGTCTAGTGAATGTACAGATAAGGTTGTGTTGGTTTTGGTGGTTTTAAGGGCTACTGGGTCACTTGAGCAGTAATTCTTATATGTATTCCTATTTTAAGTTATCAAAGCTATTAACTACTTCATACCAGTGGGTTTCTATATTTTGGATTTTTTTCTGTGTGTGAATTGAATAGAGGATGTAATAATACATAAAATATTTATGATACTATATTATAGACATGAACAAAATAAATAGCTACACGTACTTTAGAACAGCACTGCAGTGTTTGTAAAGGGTTAAAACAAAGGGCAAGTCTACGTTGGTCTTCAGTGTTACATGTAGGTATAATTTCTGGAGCTGGTTTTGGCATCCGTGGTGTAAATCCTTTATAAGTGATTCTCATGTTTCATCTTGACAGCTTCCAAATGGCCCAACAGGTACAACTTCAGGAGAGAAGTTGCTGTAACAGCTTCGTCTGTGAATACACTTTCTGTTAATTGTATGTATGAGCAGAGAGAAGCCAGTGTAGGTTATGGAGTGGGACAACTCAGCAGAGGGAAGCACAGCTAATTATGTCATGTGTTGCTGCAGCTAGGAATGCATTTGTGTTCTACCCTGGTAAGAGAGCACTGAGTTATCCAGCATGACAAGTGACAAAGGACAACTGTAGTTGGAGCCAACATCAGAATATAGAACAATTTTTTTTAATAAGAGAACGTGTCTGTTCACTGTTCTGGCAGTACCCCAGGGAGAACCTCTTTCTTCTCTGTGTAGAAGGAGGAAAATATTGGTAAAACTGCCTTTTTTGGAGATCTACAGACAGAATTCAGCCTTGTCCTGAAGCCAGCATATACTAAATGTCTGCATGAATGTAGCAAATACAGTCTGAGGTTGACTCTTCCAGTTCAGCAAACTCTGTGTTTGCTGTACACTGGCTGGCTTGTCATATGTACTCTTATGTAATCTTTGTGAAACACGTTTCTCAGATGCCTGTCATTGTATATAAATAGCTTATATGACTTAACTTTGCAAGTCATGGTAAAGGATACTTTTGGCCTCTTAAGCCATTGTGTTTCTTACATCATTTTTTGGGCCAGATGTACAGTCTGACTGGGATGGCTTGTCCTTTCAGAAATGAAATGACTGACTCGAGGTTAATGCCTCGAGGCTGGTGTGCATTTAGAGTGCACAAGTGAAGGTACAGCCCCTGTGCTTGCTGCAAACTGGAAGAACGGCTTCTCAAGTATGAACAGATAGTCCTTTTGTTCCTCAGCCCTTAAAATACATGCTGATGTATGAGGGAAAATGGGACAATAAATGAATTAAGGATTTGGGGAAGAGTTAGAAACTAAAAGCAAAGTGTATGGAGAAGTACAAGTTTTGGTGTCGACATTGTGTTTGCCTTTTTTTGAAACCTGTCCATGGCTCTATAAGTCTTGAGGAAGTTTGGAGATAGAAGTTAGAGGGCATTTCATCTACATCGCTGAGTTAATCTCTGTGTTGTTGGAGGCAACTGTGTGGTGATTTCACTTCATGTACTGTTTAAGCTTCATTTAGTTTCTGTGTACTACTCAGATTGAAATGTTGTTTCAAAACTTCAGAATCCAAAGGGTTTTTTTATGTCCAGTCTATAGGGTTTGTTATGACTAACCCATGCTGATTTATAATTTGCCAGTGTAAATCAGAAACTTGCTAATCACTACGTTCTACTGCAGAGATAGGATGAATAGCACATTATTTTTCAATATCTCTGCCCTGTGCCTAGAAGAAGGTAACTTATGAGAAGATATTACTGTAATTTTATGTTATTGTGAGTTTACCTTTCATAAATGAATTGAATTTAGGTTTTTTTGCATTTACTTCCATGTCTAGTAATGCATATGTACCTACTTCTACACCTTTGTTTGCCGAAGCAGTTCTGTTTGCTGAAGCTTAGGGTAAGAAGTGTTTAGTGGATGAGGTTAGTGGGCCCCTCTTATCTTAAATAGGTGCTGCCCTTGGTATTTTTGTCTCAGGGTTATTGCTGAGTTGGATAGGTTTGCTAGCAGTATTTATTTTGTACTGAGCTTCCTAATTGTGGCATATAGATTGACTCCACTCTGATTTGAGAAATTAGATTTGAGTTAGACTTCAGCTTGACTTTGATAATTTCACTTGCCAGTTTCTAAAAAGGAACAACCAAAAATAATCAATTTGAAAGCATTGTCCTTGCTGCACAGAGGCTGTGCCATCTTGTCTTTTTAAGACTGGGCTGAAAAACAGTAAGTGGTTTGTAGCACATGCAGAATAGCCCTTCACAGTCCTCTACTGGTACCAGTCGGTTCTCATATTGGCTTATATTTGTGCTTAAAATATGGCCAGAGATAACTAGATGGGAAAATAATAGGGATCTGAGTTGGTAGAGTTGATGGATCTTTGGGTTGGATTCAGCCCAATCTCTAGTAAAATTTTTTTTTTTTTCCAAATAAAAGGAGGAATTTGCTCTCTGTAAGTCTGATACAGAGGCCATCGTTATTCACTGAAAAGCTGTGGTGTAGCTTTTGTGCTCCTGGTGGTTGAGTTTGAGTTGCATCACTTACACATTCAGAATTGAAGCATTTATATGTTTTTATGAATTCAGAGTTGATGATGGACTCGTTAAGAATGCACATTTGTTTTACTTCGGGGTTCATCATGGTTAGTGCACATTTCCATCTGTTTTGCAGAAACTTGTGAGTGTTCTGCTTGAGTGTGTTGGTAATTAGGGGCACATTCCTTCTAGAGCTTCTCCATTTGAACTTATCAGGAGAATTGGTCTGTTGATAAGTGCTTAGATATTTGTTGATCAGCTGCTTGTTGCTACTTCCATGGAGTGGCAGAAGCCTGCTTTTGAATGCAGAGGGCTTTCCTTAGTGTGTGTTTTGGGTGTCACGCAGAAATTCCCACGAAAGGCTTGTTGAAGGCCGTGTTCTTTCATCTGCTGAAGCTAAAGGACATGCACAACTTACAGATGTTTTAATGCCTAACCACCTAAATTTTAATGCTTCTCTTTTTTGATTATACATGAAAGTATAATCAGTCATGAGAAATGCTGTAAAATGATTTGAAAATGCAGGTGGAAGCTTTTCCTTACTATGGGCTGAGCAGGGCTTTCGAATAATTTTGGAATGTTTCACATAGTTTTTGACTGAAAGTGGGCAAAAGTACCTACATTTGCTTAGTTTTTATTTGCATAAAGCGAGTGTGAACAGTCTGTACTTTGCTTTAGGCATATCCTGACATTCATCCTTTGAGCCTCAGGAGAGGTACTGCCCCTGTACATGCTGGTGAAAGATGTAAGGCTGAAAACAGTGATATTTTTCCTCAACAACCAAGTTTAGGAATGCTCCAACTATCTTCTCTTACCAGAATTTAGGTGGTTGATCACTCTTGTTTTATGGGATTTTTTTTTCTACATATTGTAAGAATTGAAAATGTTTGTGCATTTTCCTGTTCAGCTCTCCAAACTTGTGCTTGTAGAAGCTTCCCCACAAACTGTAGTCAGAGGGGTTATAATAACTGGGAGTTGCATTTATTTCTTGATGTCTTTTTGATTTAAGGTAAGAGACTGAGGCTTTGCTTTGGTGCTAGTGCCTTTGTCAAGATAAGCAGTAGTAAACTTCTGCTATTGATTCCCTGATCTTGAGATTCTGTCTCTGGAATTAGAGATACTCCTTGTTTCCTTTTGCATGTTGTCATGGGGTGAGATTTGTGCTCAGTGAAGGAGTGGAGTGGTGAGGATATATGAGGCTTATTTTAATTCCAGTCTCTGGCTGGCATTTTGATTTCTAGATCTAATGACAGAGTTGTAAATGTTGAGGGGGAAAGAAAAGCATTTTCCATCTCTGCCAGGCTTTGCTGGCATTCTTCATGTTGTAAGCATGTTGATCCTGATGTCTTCCACAGTCATCCAAGAAAACTTGAACTACATAAAGGTGGAACAAAGATAATTTATATTTTTATTTAATTCCAAAGATGATGGCTCCAGTTTGGGAATGCTTCAAGTAGTCCTGCTGTTATAGAGTTTGAACATTCATTTTAAGGCTAAAGTAATCCACCCACTATTCTTTGTTATTTTAACTTCCTTTTTCATTTTTTGTAACCTTTAAGGCTTTCTATATGTTATCATTTTTCTGTGCTGTGGGTCTCCCTGCCAGCATATTTTCTGTAATTTATGTTCACTCTTTTCAGTCAGGCAAGGTATGTGGTTTATTCTAACAAATGCAGCACGAGCAGATGTGTCTTTGTATGAAGTATTCTTTATTTGCAATAAGAAAATAGATCTTATTCCCACAAGAGTTGAACTTACTGTGGGTGTTTTGTAAGCACTATGCCTGAGTAAACCTTTTTGCTCTTGTAAAAACAATAGAAAGAAGCTGGATGTTGGTGTAATATATACATCTGCGTGTGACCATCCTCTTTTTCCAGACAGAGAAAAGTTGAACTTGTCAGAATTAAGTGGGGGAAAGAAAAAGTGTAAATGAAACCATCAAATCACTGTAACTCTTGAGCTATACATTGCTTTACAATGGTAGGTTAGTATTCAGGGTTTTTTTGAAATACAGTGTGTAAAACTATCTCAGTATCTGTGCAAAATATGCCCAATAATAACAGTTCAAAAGATTTTTTGAAAAGATGCTTATCTGACAGCAGAATGTGTTAATTGTTATACAAGGAAGAGAAACTATTAATAGAAAGCTAACAAAATCTTAATTGTACATATTTATGGAACAAGCAACTACTGTATTCACAATGTATAAGGAACATTAATTTCCAAATTGCTTTCCATATACATCAAAATTCATACCACCCCTGAGGTAAGGGGTGGTACAGGCTTGTGTTCCTTGGGACAGGGAATAGGAGCAGATGAGGTAACAGATACTCAAAAATGTTAACTTATGGTGTTCTGGTCACTTGCAATTTCAGAGTGACCTCACATTTCTTCAGAGCATTGCTTCTCATTTTGGAGCTGGTGGGAGCTAGAGGCATTTAGACTATTTGAAAGCAATCCAGTTTTACGTGAAAGAAACTGGAACCTTGGATCAAATCTCATTGAGGATTTGTGGATTTGGCAACACCCAGCAGGTTTTTACTTGTTTTCGAAGTGTGATTCAGAATGCTGTGTTAGACCAGACTGTACAGGAGGAGTGAAGCCTCTGATGAGAATCCCATGGTGAGCTGAGACTGCTTGGAGCTAAACGAGTTAAAATGTTCAGGACAGGAATGTGTTTTGGAATGGTTTCAGGACCAGCCTGAGGAACTTAAATTGTTTTAGACAGTAGGAAGGGTCCTGAAAAGGTAAATTCTTATCATCTTCTCTCTCACCTACAACTCCAATAATACTGAGCCGGGTTAGCTCTTCAAACTGAGACATCACTGTGTGCTGATTCCAAGGTTTTAACTCTCACCTGGGAAGTGGAAGTTCAAACCTACCTCCACAATTTTTCAAAGGAGTACACAACCAAAGGATTAGAGGTGGAGATGTTCCCCTCTTGTGTTAAAGGGATTTGTTAACATGTGGAGACTCACAGAAGGGAAACCGCAAGGGGTAGCCATCATGATGAGTGGTTGGTGCAAGCACATGTTCTGAAGGAAGGGGGTTGGATACCTTCCCTTCCCACACCACCACAGTTAAATAGCTCTGTGAGCAGAGCTTAGCATTTGGCAATACCTGCTTAGGCTTGGCTGTGAGATTTCATAAAAAATAGACTAGAGTAAACCTTGGTAAACACAGAATGGGTGTGTAGAGTGTCTTTCAAACTCAGGAAAATAGTGTACTCTTAACTAAGGTGCTTCATGGATAAAGCAGAAGAGTAACAGAGGCTTTTTTGGGGAAAGTAATAATGATCTTTAGACTTGGGAATTTCAGTTGTGCTTAATTCCAGCATAAATTTTGCATGTGATTACTCTGCTGAAATTGTTAGTCACTGCTGTTAGTCACTAAATTGCCTTCTGGATTTTTGGTAACAATACAGTAGTTCAAGTCTTCATGCACAAATGCTATTGCTCTCAAGAGTGCCTGAATGAAACAAAGTAAAGTAATCTAATGATACATAGTCATTTAGGTTTTCTGGATTGTTTCTCTTGGTCAGAATTTTAATATCTTTTAAATGTATTCATAGGTAAAAACATCAGAGTTTTATCGATACTCCCGGCAGCTGCGACATGAGGTTGACCAAGCCATGAATTACTTTCATAGCGTTCACCAACAGCCTTTGATGGAAATGAAATCGAACAAAATTCGTTCTGCCAAACCCCAGACTGCAGTATTTAGAGGAATGATAGGACACAGTATGGTAAACAGTAAAATTCTTCTCTTGCACAAACCAAGGGTCTGGTGGGAACTAGAGGGTCCTCAAGTACCTTTGCGACCAGACTGCCTTGCCATTGTAAATAACTTTGTGTTCTTACTAGGTGGGGAAGAACTGGGGCCAGATGGTGAGTTTCATGCTTCATCCAAAGTGTTCAGATATGACCCAAGACAGAACACTTGGTTGCGAATGGCAGACATGTCTGTTCCACGCTCTGAGTTTGCAGTTGGAGTTATTGGGAGGTATGTTTATGCAGTGGCTGGGAGAACCAGGGATGAAACGTTCTACTCCACTGAACGGTACGATATTACTGAAGATAAATGGGAATTTGTGGATCCCTATCCAGTCAATAAGTACGGACATGAAGGGACTGTGCTTGGTAACAAGTTGTATATCACTGGTGGAATTACATCATCCTCAACTTCTAAGCAAGTGTGTGTGTTTGATCCCAGTAAAGAAGGGACGGTGGAGCAGCGAACAAGGAGAACTCAAGTGGTCACTAACTGCTGGGAGAACAAATGCAAAATGAACTATGCAAGATGCTTTCACAAAATGATTTCTTACAATGGTAAGCTTTATGTTTTTGGTGGTGTCTGTGTGATCCTGAGGGCCTCCTTTGAATCTCAAGGATGTCCTTCTACAGAGGTGTATGACCCCGATACAGATCAATGGACTATATTGGCTTCTATGCCAATTGGTAGGAGTGGTCATGGTGTAGCTGTTCTGGACAAACAGATAATGGTTCTTGGAGGCCTTTGTTACAACGGTCATTACAGCGATTCGATTCTCACCTTTGATCCAGAGGAAAACAAATGGAAAGAAGATGAATATCCGAGGATGCCGTGCAAGCTGGATGGCTTACAAGTCTGCAGCCTGCACTTCCCTGAGTATGTTTTGGAGCATGTTAGACGTTGCAGCTAAAACTGAGTGAACAACCCAGTGAAATACAAAAAGCTATATCTAATTTGTTAAAAAAATACAGACCAGTTAAATTCCTTCAGAGACATTTCCTTGTGTGTGAGAACAACTACTAAATGCTCAAGAGAAACAGGATGTACAGGGAGTGTACTTGCCAAGTTTGTTAGAAAAGCCAATAGTTGGTCTGACCTTGTAAAAGCTTTGTTGTTATGGGTTTTTTTAACATAACTGTAAGTATGAAAAAAATAAATTTTTGAGTGTGCTTGGGTTTTTTTGTAACATTTTATGTCCATAATATTTTATCTTTTTTTTTTTTTAATGGCCTTTATGCCACTATGCTTTTGAAATAAGTTGAGTTTGACAAAATATTTGTGAAAGGCAGAGAAGAAAGATTTTATTTGTGTTTTTATTGAGCATCAAAATAAACCTCATCATCTGTACTAGGTTACAACCACGTATAAGATAACAAAACCAAACCCTTTCTGTGTTTTATGTTGTCCTTTAGATGCTTTTCCCATTAAGTACAAAGACTTCTTAAGTCTACTAGGTGTTTTTGTTTTCCCTTATTTGCTTTGGAGAAGAATTTTAACCCCTTTGCATGACCTTTCTCCTGGTTTTGTACAGTGGTACCAGTAAGTCTGCCAAACTGCAAATTACACATTTTCTACTAAATTGAAAACAAAGCATTTTTATATTCAAAACACTGTTTCTATGCTGCCTTCTGTTGTCTGCGTTGTGTTTGTTGGTGAGTAAAAACAGTATACATACATGTGCATACACTGTAAAAACTGTATATAAATGCATCTTTTTATTTGCAGTTACAATATTATATTTTAACTAGTGCACAGGTTCAGCCATATCTGTTGAATTTAAGGTATTCTTTAATAAGCTAAATAATTCAAAGTTCTTAAGTAACCAGAGTTACTTAAGATATCATTTGGTATCAAAGTATCTTATCTTTAGATATACTGATTGATTCAGTAACTTTAAAGTCTTTATATTGTTGCTACATAATGAACTGTTGATTATTTGTTGGGTTATAAATTATTTTTTAAAAAGCAAACTCATCTTACCTGAGTTTCTTTTCGGTTTCAGTGTGCTGCCCAGTTTTCTTTTTTCATGAAAATGGAAAATATCAATAAGCAAATGCTCAGCACTGCTGTGACCCACAGTTATTTTTGGAACTGGATACTGGATATACTACAGTTTATTCTCAGTACTTTGCTTGTACTCACATTTCAATATGAGTACTTGTATTGAAGTGGTGTAATCTTTTTATTATTATTATTTTAATTATTAACTCTTAAGAACTACTGTGTTCTGAAAGTGTGGGGTTCGGTGATTGGATGATTGATGTAATTTCTGTTTCTTTTATAAAAAAACCTACACAGCTATGGCTACTGACCTCAGAGTGCCTGAAACGACGTGTGTGGTCCTAGAGGGCTTTGAATAACTCCACTGAGTTTAACTTACAGGTATAACTGTCAGTAGGTTGGTAAGAATTATCTACCAAGACATAAATAATAACAGTAATTGCATTTTGATTATCTTTATGGCTGTGAAATTAGCCACTTCTGGAACCTAAAGGAGAAGGTGAAGGCTCACAGTTCAGATGCTGAAACATGCAGCTGCATATTCTGTAAAATCTTATGCTGCTGTGTTTCACTTCAGGCAATAGACTTTACTTTATATGCAGCAGTGCTAAACCACTTTATTCAGCATCTTCCAGTCAGAAATCACTGTAGAAAAGGAATGTACAGTACTCAGGGAGTTCAAAAGAATGCACTTACAAAGGGACCAAAATCACCCTAAATTTTCTATGTTAAAAATAACACCTACTGTCTAAACAAAGTTTGAAATAATAGGAGTTAAAACAACTTGTAAAACTCCTCATACTGTGTTTTGATATTTTTGTAGTAATTACGTCCTGGGTTGAAATGTGAGTATTGGAGCTATATGGCAAGTCAGCAAATTTTTAAATTTTTTTTTAATTATTAGAAATTATTTAATTATCAAGTATTTTCTTTTCATATGTTTTAAAAGAAAGAGGTAGTGCATGCCATCATAGCTGTAGTGATAAGCTATTTACACCAGAAGTGACTGGACCAAATACTGATATTCAGCCTTCTGATGCAGGCTAGTTTGCATTTAAATTTGTCTTTTTTAATAAGAATTCAGTTGACTGAATTAGAAATCTAATTTACTTTCTTGATATTTTAAGGTAAGGCCACTGTGGCTTACACTCAAACCTCAGTTTCACTACATCTCCCTGCGTGGGTACAGAGAGAAACTGACTCCAGTAGGTGCTGGCTCTGTGCTGACTGTACATAGTTCATGGAATATTGAGGCACAAGAGAAAAAAACAAGAGGTTTTAAAATATTTTTTTATTATTATTCTGTTTGTCACCAGCTCATTTCTCACTAAGTTAATGGGGCAGCAAAAACTAATCCTGCCTGAGAGGGCTTTCATGGGCACGTTCTGTACAGTACATAGTACTTCACTTTTATCTGGGGCCGTGTGGGGGGAATGGACATGGTTCTGGATATCTGGTGTTCAGGATTCAAATGTCTGAAGAGACCCAGCCAAGACTTTATTAAAATTAACAGTAAAGATGGGGGTGTCTCAAGTTACGGTTTGGAGTCTGTATTTGAGCCCCTTCTGAGGTTCTGTGTACAGGGCAGCTGCCACTGAAGTCAGTGCTGAGTACACTTGAAGAGCCAGATTGGTTTTGGTGCTCTGCTTTTAAGTTCATATCTATCTTCAGGTGCCCAGCTCTGAAAGTTCTTATTCAGGACTGTAATAGTAATTGTTCTGTGAAATTTTAATTGAACTGTTGGTTTCCGCTTTCTTGAAAGCTGTGTCTCCATTGAGAGGCTGGCTGCTACCTTTCCAGCATTAGGAATGATTGGAATTTGCTTGGGTTTAGAATGTGTGGGGGTATGTGAGAGTGTTTTGTCAAATTACATTTCTACTGTGCTTTTATTGTTTCAGACATGAAGTATAAAATGAGCTTACTCTCTCTTTTATATTGCAGTGGAACTTTCAAGGCAGTTATTTTTGTTACTTTATATGTTGGAGGGATTCTTTATTTTAATTGAAAGTTTGTGTTTGCTTTTATTATTTAGCACCAGATAATTTAGTGTTTAAATAGAAACAAAACGAAGCTGGCTAATAAGAATTGCCTGTTACTATGAAATTTTGAGCATTATGATCAGATTAAGAGAGTTTTAAAAACCCAACACTTAAATACCTCTCATTTGTTAAGGAAAAGGTAAGTTTCAATCTTTGATTACTAAGTTTGGGGAGGTTCTTTTTCTATTCCCACCCCAACCATAATGGAATATCAGCACACCTAATGTCACCCACATATTTAAAATTCAAAACATGACCTGCTTTGAAAAGAAGGTGTACTTGCCTTTTTCTTAAAAAAAGTGGACATAGTGGGTTACAATGTAGGTTGTTGGGTTGTGGGAGTTTTTTTGTTGGTTTTGTTGTTGTTGTTTTTTTGGAGGTGGTTTTTTTTTTCCCCCACATCTATAGAAAAAATGTACCAGCTTCATTTCTTAGTTTAGCAACCAACTCCAGGAGGAAAGTTTATTTTCAGATGAGGTAATGTACAAAAAGCACAGTGCTCCTGTAAAGGGACCGGACACTGCCAGTTCCCATTTCACATGCTGCTATGTCTGTTTTTAGGGGACAGGGCTTTTTTTAAAGTACTGCATAAGGAAAAAGTCGTTTATTTTCTCCCCACAAAATGTTGGTAGTTTCATAGTGGGAGGTATTAGGTGGCAAAAAACTTCTGAAGTTTTTTTCCCCGTGAATTCAGCTGGAGGAAGGCAGTGCTCGGTTTTACAAAGGCCCTGCTGTTTCGGAAAGCACTGCTGGCAACTGGCAGCATATGAGCTACCTGGCAACCTGCTTTTATGTTACTTCCTTTTGAAAAGTGTGGCTGTCCTACTTTCTGCAGTATGATAGTAGTCCTGTTAGAATTAGATCCAAGGGTTTGACTCGAATATTTCCCTGGTTTCTGAGGTTTGCAGCCATTTTTTTCTTGAGGCCCTCCTGCCTTAGAAACTCAAGTGCTGCATTTCCTTGTGCTGATAAGATGGTAACTGCTTGTGTCAGGAATGAAGCGTCACTCGACACTCAGGAAGCAAAGATAAAATGCGGCAGGTACAAATTCAAATTGTTTTTAAAAGAAAAACATTGCTTAACTCATTATGTCCATTCTGTAGCAAAAGAAGGGTAAGCATTATGGGGAGATGCTAAGAGTTCTTTAAAATTCAAGCTTGTGTCAGCCTGTATATGATAAAGCCTTTCTAAAAAAGAGTTGCATTTGTAGAGGTATTTTGCCTTTTTAATGTATTTTTCCTTAAAAAAAAAAAAGAGTGACTTGGGCCCCAGATTCTTTTAACACTTCAAATGTGTACTTGGCATGTGTGAATTAGTCCAGTGTAAAGAAAACAGAGAACTGTAAGGTACTTAAAACATAAGCACAAGTGTTACTTGTGTGCTTAAGTGTTTATAGGATTTGGGACATCAAAGAAAACACCCCTCCTGCTGTTCTGTTAATAAAAATATAGCTGGTGAAGTTACTTGAACAAGCGTCTGTCACATGTGGCAGAGCTCACTGAAGGAGAGCAGGAAAGAACATAACTGGAAAGCACGAGTCATCTATTAAAACAGCTTGCTGGTGTCCTATAGCTCACATTCTGAGATTTTTCGTGTTTGTTAAACAACTTGAAGCTGCTTGAAATAAATACTAATGACTACTTTTGCATCTGTATTCTATTTTTGAAAGGTGGTGAGTAACTTGAAAATTTCCATTTGTGTGGGTAAACTTCATTAAACCTGGTTGTATGTGGCAGGAAAACTGATTTGTTTTGAGCACAGCTTTCCTGTATGTCCCTCTACTAAATTTTTATTCACCTTCCGAATTTCAATTAATGTTTATATAGTCTTTTAAAAATAGCTTTCAAAAAACAATTTCAAATATCTTTGGATTAATATTAAGTTGGTAGCTAGGGGGAAATCACTTCTATTTACAGATAGTAGTGTTTATTTATGGCTCTGGTAGAAAACCTTACTGTAAGTCTAGAAAATGAGGTGTTCTGTAGGACTGAAAAGTTACTTAGGGGGCTTTTATTACCTCAGTGGGACCCACCTAACTTTTATGTCAGTTCTGGAACAGGTGAAGGGAAGAGTGAGCTATGTTTTTATTTTAAATATTTTCCCTATATATTGTTATTTTTGTAGATATTTTTAAAATAAATTATTATATCCTGGAGACTGCAATTCCACTATAATATCCCATGATTCCAGTGTACAATATCAGATTGTTTGTATTGCAAAGAATGTATTTGATAAGTTAACAGGAAAAGTTATTTTCAAACTGTGCTGTGTTTGTCTAGCAATTGGAAATACTTTTCCTATAGAAAATTAAAATTATATGTATATGACCTCATATCTACATTTGGATTAATTGTCTAATGATTACCCCAGGGCTGCTATAAACTTCTATAAATAATTTAAGAATTGCCTCTTTTTACTGTTTTAAAGCATTTTTTCTTGTCTTTTTTTTGGGCAGAAAGTAATTTTCCCTTGCTATGGATACAGTATACTAGACTTGCATATGTGCTCTGTTCGGGTTTCAAACTGAAAAAAAAAATGTATAAAATGTGTATAAAGAAAAGTGTAAATAAAATATTTTTAATCTTTAAAAGATCTTGTGTAACTTGTGTAATACTCAAAAGTGTGGTGGATCTGGATCACTTTTTATAGGACTTTGGAGTTTACTCAGTTAAGCAGCTCTTCAAAATGTGTGTTGCAATGATTCTATAATGTTGTGTCAAAGTTGTCCCGTCAAGGAAAGCGGGATGTGGTTCTATGGACAACACCAAGCTCTTTTCTTTAGCCGTATTTTACGGTCTTCCTAACTTTAATTGCTGTAGCACGTTCTTCTGTTTACTCTGCACTTCAAGCTTGAAATAGTGTTTGGAGTTAACTTTATCGTTACACTCGTAACCCAGTGCGATGGCATTTACCCTGTAAGACCGAACACTGGAGGCAGCCCTTGGTGTCCATCAGCAGCCAGGAGAGACTGTTCCCTGCTCTCACGTACATGGAGTTGAGGGCTCTGAGACAGCGTGTGTTCACTGCACACTCGGACCTCAGAGTGCCAGAAGTCTTAAGTCATACTGCTTAACGTTTCCTGTAACAGGAAGGGGAAACTTCATTTCAGGATTAAAGTGTCAGATTAGAACAACATTCAATACCAGGGAGGGGGAGCAGGGTGGGAGGGCAGGTAAAACAGGAGGCTGTAATCTTATTTTCTCAAGCAGTCTCATGAAAGCCTTCCTTGTCAGTGAATTGCCACACTTCTGCTTTTCTCTGTCACTGTGTTATATGGCAAGTCTCTCTCAGATCAAAGCCTCTGGTTCAAAAATCTGATGTCAAGAATGTTTGAAAATAACTGTGGTCTCTTTATTTTTTTCAATATTGAGTCCTAAAATAGCATTTTAATTTTATTTTAGTAATTCAAATCACTTTAAACTTTATTCACATGAAGTAACCTCCGCCCCTCCCCCTTTTTGGTAACTTGGCTTCATCCTCCACCATGACTAGGAGAGTGCTGGGGATGAATTTAATGGGAGAATGCTGAGGATGAATTTGTGCTGGTCCCAGTGGGAATTTGTCATGGGAGGAAGGGCCTATTTAACTGTGATATTGCCCACATTTTGGGTTCAAAAGGGAACCAAATGCATTAGACTGACACAGCGGAAGAGATGACAACAGCAATCTTTTCACACTGTTTTATTTACACTTCTTTTTCTTCACCGTTTTAATTCCCCTTCCCTGTGAACCAGGTTGTGCTTTTGGCAATACCTTTCTTCCAAGACGTTACACTGGCTGACTTGACTTACTTGTTATCACCTCTGTAGTTGATTAGGCTCGCCAACAAAGTTTCCACTGTTTCACTAAGGAGAGTGCTTGCATTTTAGCTGGTTCATACCAAACTGTTCACTTTTTTTTTTTGCATGTGTGGCCTTATTTTTTGGCAGTAGTTCCGTAATCTGTGTTCACTTGTTTTGTCTGATAACGAAGTTAATGCTATTTTGGCAAAGGGTTTTTTCAGTGAATTCCTTCTAGATTCTTTGGTTTAAATTATCCACCCTTGTTGACTTGAAATTCTTAATTTCAACAGGCCCCCTTTGTTATGGATTGGGGTTTGGGGGTCCTAGGTGAGGAGGGATGTGGAGGGTTTTTTTGTTTGGTTGGTTTTGTTTTTGTTTGCTTTTTTATTTTATGACTTCATTGGCTTCTAACTGTGGAAAGATGAAGTGTTGCTTTGGGTGTTGCACAGCCTCTGTATCAGTTCTGTACCTTTTGAGTTCATAACACACTTGTGAACACATGATCCTCCACCCAGCCTTTACCCTGTCAAATTTTGCTGATGGTTCAGTGTCATCCTTTAGTTGAAGCATCTTCTTGTCCAAGGCAACTTTCTTGGCATGTACAAAAACTTCATTCAAGGGAGAGGATCAGGAATATGTGTTAATTTCTTGTTTTCATTAACACTTTCCACTTGATTCTGTAGTGACACTGGCAGGTGCTTTAGGCAATGTTTACAGGTGAAAATAAACCTCATCATGATACCTGTTCAAGCACCCAGTGACTGGTCAGTCATCTATCCATTGGAATGAATGCCAGCATTAAGCATCACATGCTGAGCACAAAGCATTCTAGATTGATGCTGTGTGGTACCTAAGGAACTAAAAAAAAAAAAAAAAAAAATACTCTTTTTGCCGTGTATCTGATGTCTGTCAAATGTGTCTCCTGGTGATGTCACCCTTGCTGACAGTTCTCCTGTATTAAGGATAAATGTTCAATAAGTGGTGGTGAATACAATTTTTTTTCTAATGAGATAGATGGCTTTAATGGTTAATCCTTTTATAGCACTATTTAATTTTACCAGACAGACATGTCTGTCTTTGGCTTAAACTGGCAGCCTCCTTTCCCACAGCCATTTCAATATGTCCTCAGGCATGTTCTAAACACTGGTTTGTTGGGAGTTTTTTTGTCGTTTGGTTCAGCTCATAAGTTTGATTTACACCAATCATGTAATTATCTTTTCTGTGTGGGTGTCTTTATTTCCTGTGGTGAATTGTGAATTCTATGTGTCTCAACATATACAAAATGTATGGGATCGTGCTTGTGGTGCTGACACTGGTGTCGATGTAAGGCATGGCCTGAGTGCCTTCCCTTTTGTTGGTGTAGTGATGCCCTTCATTTTCACTCCTGAAAAGCAGGGAATTGCTGTGCTATCATCTTCCACCTCTCAGAAAGCCCTCTTGGCTGATCTATGCCCAGGAAAGAGTCCTTGGTTGGCTGGAGGATGTTCCTTAGGATTTGCGTCATGTCACACATGCTCTCACTTCTTCCTCTGGCTCTTACAGGCAGTTCTGCAAGGATTTTTTTATCTAACACAGGTGGCAACTTGATACCAAGAGCTTATTTTAACTTATGAAATCCAAAATATCATAGTTACAGAAGAAGACATTTTGGAGGGCAAAACCTTTTTTTCTTTTTATGTGTGTATTTGTCTTCTTAATTTTGAGTTCATTTATTGCAATCAGGAAATTACTGTCAACTAATAACTTTTCCTCCACTGTTTCTCTTGTCCGATTATCAGAAACATTGAAAAGCATTATGTAGTCAGAAAAAAAAAAAAGGTGATTAATATAATTAGCTGAACTGTAGCTTTTAATTGAAGGACTTTTCATGGTCGTAAAGTTGGGAACCGATCCAGTTAACAACGTTCTTGAAAGCATGTTAGCTTATTTCTGACAGAGCTGGATTTTGGCTCAGCTCTGTTCTCTGAAAACAAGGGGAGTGAGACTGACCTCTACATAAGTTAAATAAACTAAATACCTCAGCCAGGAAAATCTCGGTACAAAATTGTTAACAGCTAGATAATCAACCAGCTGTACTCTGCAGAAGTTAGGAACCTTACAAGCGATCAGAGTTTCACACTTTTAGTTTTGTCCTAGCTTTGTGGTGCAGAGCTTTTTATTTTTCCCATGGTAAAAATTAATTAAAAGAATGTATGTTTTGCTGAACTTGTTAAACTGGTGTGGGAAGCCGTGCTCTCGGGTCTGCAGCCTCATTCAAAGCAGGGCCGAACACATTAAAGTGACTGGAAAGATTAGCAATTTTCCAGCGCCTTAACTTCTGATGATTTATGCATCTGCTGTGGATGGAAATCAGCCCGTATCCTCCAGAGATAATGTCTGGAACCAGGCATGCAATTTACCTGCTTCATATTCCCATTCTTCTGTAACAATGGATTGATCCCTCTGGCTTTTCAATTCATGAAATTGCCATCTCTTGATATTCAGCCAAGTTGCTCCTATTTGTAACATCCAGTTTCTGGGCCCTGCATTGTTACACACAGACAGGAGTAAGAACCTGTTCCATCACACTTGAGAAATGTGATGTTTTTTTCATCTGTACACCAGCCAAAGTAAGCCAAGGCATTGTTTTTAACCTCTGCCAGCACCACGTCGTACTAACTGATGAGACCAAAGAGGGAGCTTCGAATGCTGTGCTAGATGGAAGCTGTTAAAAGTAAAGGTGGTCTTGGTCTGTGCACCACTACCCTGTGCCCCTTAAGTGGCAACGATGCCAACCATAGACCTTCCCCAGAGGGAAGGGGGGCACAAACATGATTATCTTCTCTCTACAAAAAGTGGTAGGTGATAACATGCATTAAACATATAAGGGATCACTGGGGGAAATTATCTGCATGACAGTTTTCATTAGTGATTGTTGTGACACCCCTAAAATGTGTCCTAGAATATCCTAAACACATTCAGGATTAAGCACATGTAAGGGTGGGTGTTGCTCCTTTGTGGAAAATGCTTCCAGAATGGAAGCAGTAGTTGAAGGTACCAGACCAGGGTGGGTTTTAATGAATACGAGGCAAAGGAATGGGAAATCGCCAAACCAGCCTGAACAAATGCCATGGTACCAAAGAGCAAGAAACTGTAGGAGGACTCCTGGCTAATGAGTGCTCTGCACAGGAACACAGGATTATGTCCCAAAAAGGGCATTTTTCTTCCAGTTTTGTCTCACAGCTCTCATTCTCTCTGAAACAGATACGTCATCTTCATTTTTGTGGTCTTCTGTTGAGCTTGAGAAGAGCAACATGTTGGCTGCATGGGCACTGCATGGACGCTCTGTGGTGAGTCAGTAAGAGTAAAATGAAGAGGTGACTGATGAATTTTTTGGAAAGGATGATCTAGAAAACCAAAAATATTTAAGGCTTTTCCCCTCAAAAAAAGTTTTACTTGACACTGAACAAGTAAAGCCATGAAATGAAAATCTACCTTATAGAAATAGAATAATAAAGGTTTTCCCTTGCATTCTTCCATTACATCAAATGATGGTGGCAGCATCAGTGAAGAAGAAATCCAGATGACTCTTCATGTGCAGTTCATCTCTGTCTCCCCTCTTGGGCAGGATCTGCAGCAAACCCTTCAGAATTGTCTGCTGCTCTTCTGGTCCCCAGGATCCTGTAAGGCTTCAAGCCCCAGCCTAGTGGCTTAATGGGGAAGCAAATCAAAGAGTTAACCAACAGTGTAAGTATGGGCTTCACTACCCAAGTACAAAATTTTTTGCCTGTTTCTCAATACCTTATATCATGTGAGATGTTGCACAGAA